GCGCTGCAGGTCCTCTCAGGTGCCTGGCATCCCTCACCCATCACCTGTGCTCCTGGTAAGTGGCTCTTTATTCCGCAGATGGGGACTCGTGGGTGGGTGGGCTCTATGCAGGGTGCGAAAGGAGGAACATGGGACTAGAGTGAGGTTTGTAGTAGCCTCAGAAGAGATGCGGGCTCCGACAGCCCTCTGCAGCTCAGGGGTGTTCTGTTTAACACAGTGGGAAACTCGTCTTCAAATGTTTGGACTTTAAATGTGGCAATGCACAAAACTTGTCCATTTTCTCATCTAAAATATTCATTAGTTTTCATGTCCCATGTTTCAAAGCAATCATCTTTCTAATCATTTTAGATTAAAATGGTACTCATTTGCAAGTACACACTTTCCAGAGAATGGACAAGTTTTAATTTTGAGTTTTCATTCAACATCATTAGTGCTCCTTTCATCATCACAGAAATGTTGGAACTATGGTTTTAAAGTCCCTTTTATAGTGTCTTAAGGAATATTTTATTTGTAATGAAACTTATGGATAATTGTGGTTTCAGTGGAATTAGAAATAATATACTGGGAGATTACACATAGGAACAACGGAAATCACGGAGGATACAAGGAAGAACCTGGAATACTATTAAGATGGAGCTGTGCTCCCAGCAAAACAATATGGGTTCCTTGAAATGGATTGTAGGTTAGTTGTATACTGCACATTATGGACAATCGTCTAAAACATTAAGAGTGAAGTGTAATTTATATGCTATAACAAGGGAGAAAGAGACAGTAATAAGTTAAAACCAGAAGGCAGTAACGAAGAGTAAGAACAATTAAAAGGAAACACAGTAGGTCATATTACTATGTAGTAATCATCTTAAGTGCATGCAATGTAAGTACACAAACTTGAAGACAGAATTGCTGGAGTGGAGCAAAAAGTACAACCCAAGTATAGGGGATCCCCAAGAAACCTTCTTGAAAGATGAAGACATGGGAGAGTTCAAAGTGAACACCAATCAGGAGGAAAAATGAATAAATATATTAGCCCTTAGCCAGACTTCAGAACTTATCAGAAAGTTAAACCTTTCCAAAGAAATGGTGGGTGAGTCACTGTTGAAAACGAGGCCGTGTCCTACCGTGTCTACTAATATTTTTCTCTTAACCTTTCTTCCCCTGGCTTCATCATCACCAACTTCAAGTTCACGCAGTCAACTCTTGCCAAATCGCCGCCAATACTGCCTGCTTGGTTTTTGTGACAGATTTAGGTTTGTGGTTGTGATAAAGACCTTCTGAATTTTCCAGTAATTTGCTATGGGATCGTTTCTCTAGATTTTTTTCTCAGACTGCACATAAACATTAGCTCCACCAATAGCCAAGGATAAGCAAGCACCCCGAGTTGCGCTTCACGACATCAAGTCACCTTGCAACACCAATCGGCAATTCTCACCCAGACTGCTTTTTTGAGAATTAGCTGCCACTTACTTACTGAAATATTCCTTGGGCTTTTTCTTCGTTATCCTAGGAAGCAAGTGTTTCCCAGAGTCTCTGCAGGGCACTGACAGCTTACCTGCACTGACTGTCAGTTCTTTCTACCCAGTCCTCTTCATAATCCTCCAGCTACAGCTCCCATGGGTTGAGTATGTCACTCAGTCACTCAGCATACTTACAATTCTTGATATACATGAAGGTGATGTGAACCTATGTGGAAAGGGCAAACCAAGGAAGTTCTCACATACCTAAACACATCACAACGTGTCCGACACAGAACCCATATCAGTGCAAAGACACTCCTAAGACACATGCATCATTATGGTCACATTGCAGAAAGCATAGCAGGCATGTCCTCCACGTCGCCCTTTCTTCACCTTGTATCCATTCAAAAGGCACTCGGCCCTCAGGGCTTTCTCTCCCACTGCCCCCCACTTCTCATCTGATCACTGACTGGTGCATTGGCCCAAACATTCCTCACCAGTTTCTGGCCCACGTTATGCTGCCATGTTGTAGGGTTGCTCGTGAGTTCAGGCCGTGCAGGAGGTACGTATCTGAAGTTCTTGCTTTCTTGAACAGAGTGGTAGACGAAATCTTAATTGTGATGAATTGCTCCTGGACAAACTCAACCTCCATCGTCAGATCTAAGTGCTCTGGGAGATAAGTTTTCAACGAAATGCTGATTTCCCTGAGATATTTCTTAGCCTGTGTTCTTTCTGTTCTCCTAACTTTCCCACTCACCATTTCCTTCACAGTTAGAAATGACCTTTTAGAACTTCCCAGTTGTTAGCCCGGTGATGTCTGCCATTATATTCAGAGCCTCACGTCTCTCCATGGGCTATTTTTTTCCAGTGTGGAGAGAATGATGTGGGGGCTTGGTCCTTCAGGGAAGCCAGGTACCATTTCAGGACTGTCATTTCTGAGAGCCCTACCTGACCCATGTGGGTCAGAGGGTTTCTGTGCTGCCTTCTAATGGACTAGACCATGCACTGCTAGTCAGCAGTGTGTAATGAGACCCAGCAGGGCAGACTTGCTAAGAACATTTCTTCCACAAGATGGCAGCACAGAAGTTCCTAATACACTTCCTATTCCATTCCTTACGAGATGTGCATATGGCTCTGCACTGCAGCTAGCTGCCAGATGTGTCCTGCTGGCAGCCGTGGTGTGTGCTCTGTGTGGTGTGCAGACAGCTGGGTGCATGGATGCCCATCTGCAGCCTGCTGCCCATCTTGGGACCCATCTCAGTGGGTGCCAGTGTGTGTTTCTGACTATGTGGCTTCGTTTATCATCATTCTTAGAGAATTCTACTCCTTCTGTAGAATTTTCCCTGTTGATAAAAATGAGACCTTCCTAGCGATATTGCAAAATGCTCAACCTAGAATAGGTTTTCTTGATGGGATTACAAGACCATGGCATTGTACAACCTGCCTTTTTGTGTACAGTCCTGAGAAAAGCTGCTTAAATGTGGCCCCAGGCTCACAACTCGGCAACAGTAAGACAGGCTATGTTTATAATATTATATGCTTGTACTTACAAGGCTCCATTTTCATTTGAAATCTAAATTAAAGGCTACACAAGGAAACTCCAAGAAGTTCATGGAAATATGAAACTTTGGTATCAAACATCTTGAAATATGTGCATAGTTTCTTTGCATTATGCATCCTAACAAAAAAATATATAAACAGCCTTCCTATCATGACTTCAAACTATCTTGGAAAATGAGGATCTTTCGTTATTATTTTTGAAGTTCTCACATTTTTCAAGTAGCATAAAACAGAAGCTTAGAATTTGTTTTTTTTTTCCCCTCTCAATGTTTTAAGCATTGTTAAAATGTGACTATATCAAAAGTCGTTTTAAAACACTAGGTACACAGCGCACAGGTGCACTGACGTTCCTGTACAGCAAAGACAGAGGACAGTTTAGAGCTGCGTGCTTGCTGGCAGCACAGAACCCACAGAACCCAGACACAGACAGCTGATCAGACAGATATTTTCCAGTATTCTCCTGACCATGTCACAGGCTCAAATCTTTTCTTAATAGATACATGAAGGGAAAACATGATGCCATTTGTTTCATCAGTACCTTGAGAAAAAGTTAACTTTTAAAAAACTTCTACTCCTGAAAACCGGAAATTTTTCAAGAATGAGACCAAGTTACGTTAGTCTGTATTATGCTAAACAGCCCTGGGGCTTAAACAGTTCGGATCTCTCCTTAGCAACTCTCATTATAGAACCATACTGCTCTAATTCTCTGCCATGGAAATCAACCTGAAACTCTAAAAGTGTTTTCCAGGAAGAATTGTTTCACTATCACACGCTTTATGTTTATAAGGTTTGATCAAAGTAAATAGGGCTGCTGCACATGGGAAGCCACCACATGTAGGTCATAACTGAATTCTCCAGCCTGAACTGAGAGCACGTGGGCCCCATGCACGCCTGACCTGAGGAGGACATGAAGGCTCGGGGTCCCATGGAGAGCCAGCTGTTGAGTCAAGAACTGTCCCATCATATCAGCAGCACAGAACCATCGTCTGCTGAGACTGTGATCAGATTCACTGAGGCTTCAAAGTCAGGAAGGAAGAGAAACTGCCACACAGAGGCTGTTCAGAGCCTGCTGCTGTGGGGTTCACTTCCCTGATCCTGCAGGAGGGACAGAGCCTGTGCTGTGGGGTTCACTTCCCTGATCCTGCAGGCAGGGACAGAGCCTGCTGCTGTTGGGGTTCACTTCCCTGATCCTGCAGGCAGGGGCAGAGCCTGCTGCTGTTGGAGTTCACTTCCCTGATCCTCATTTTCTTTCCTATATTTACAGATGAGATTATTGGGATTCACATGTTAAGTGACAGCTGAAGGTCACACATTCAGTAAATGATCTCTTATATATTAAGAACCTATGTGATTATAGAATGAATTGGACTTACGTCTTCACTAAATTAAGAGGAAAAGGAATTAATATAGAGGTTGTGGAGGGAGGGAAGTTGGCTATCTCCTTAGAATTGTACCTAGAAAATCTACTCTTTTTACATTGATAAAATGTTTAGAAGGAAATAATGTCTATCTAGAAATAAAAAGACAGTGATTTTAGGCAACCCTGCATGCATACACCTTTTCCATTTACATGAAACTTTAATTTCTACTTTTCTAAAATTCTCATTTGAGTTCAGCAAAAAGTGTAACACCTCGGCAGTGTATCCAACGACTTATCACAACCTGGCTGACAGAAAGGGAAGCAACTCAGTGTCCAAGACTCTGAAAAACTACAAATAAGATAAAAATCAGGAAATACTTTCCCACAAAATAGCAGTTTTATCACCCAGATCCTGTTGGAGCCAAGCAATAGGACACTTTTTCCAGTCATGACTGCAGGTGTAGAACTAAGCAGAGCAGCTTACAGGAGACCATTAGCTGACCTCAGCACTCTCAGCAAACGAGGTGCACTGGGGAGAAGGGGGTGTGCAGGGACTCGAAAGAACTTAATTTTCCATAAATATTTTCTCCTTAAACATATACTACATACTTTTCTTCTCCAAAGAGATGAGTAAAAGCAATATGCTTTCCAGTCCTATTGCTGTAAGAAATGCCTTTTTCTCTGAAGTCAGCATTGGGATTCCAGCCAATGCCATCCTCCTGCTCTTCCACATCCTCATGTTCTTGCTAAAGCACAGACCCAAGCCCACCGACCTGACCATCGGGCACTTGGCCCTCATCCACCTGGTGATGCTGACCATCATCGGGGTCATAGCCACAGATGTCTTTGGGTCTCAGGGGCTATGGGATGACATCACATGTAAAGCAGCCATTTACTCATATGAGGTAATGAGGGGCCTCTCCCTGGGCAACACCTGCCTGCTCAGTGTCCTCCAGGCCATCACCCTCAGCCCCAGGAGCTCCTGGTTGGCCAAGTCCAAACAGACATCCTCCCATCACAGCCTGTGTGTCTTTGTCCTCCTCTGGGTCTTCAATTTGTCCATGAGTGCTCGTTTCTTAATCTCCATTGCTGCCACCACCAACGGCACATCTGGCAGTCATATATTTGTCACCAACTCTTGCTTTCGTTGGCCCCTCAACTACTTATCCATGCAAATATTTTCCATGTTGGGGATCTTCCGGGACATCTCGCTCACAGGGCTCATGGCCCTCTCCAGTGCCTACATGGTGATTCTCCTGTGCAGGCACAGGAGGCAGTCCCAGCACCTTCACGGCACCAGCCTTTCTCCAAGAGCCTCCCCAGAGCTGAGGGCCACCCGCACCATCCTGCTGCTCATGGGCGTCTTTGTGCTCCTCTACTGGCTGGACTGCATTGTGTACTCCTTATCAGGGGTGTGGAGGAACAATGATTCAGTTCTCTTGTGTGTCCAGATATTGGTGGGCAATGGCTATGCCACCATTTTGCCCCTTTATTACTAATCAGTAGTGAAAAAAGGCTGATCAAGCTTTTCAAATCCATGTGGGAGAAATAAATAAGCTGTTAATTTTTCATAAACAATTAACATGCTTCTAGATGAGTAAATGCTTTACTTCAAAGTGCTTAATGACTACCTCAGGACATGCTGTCTCTGTTCGTTGAAACACATGGAATTAAGGGCGATCCCAGATAGCTGAATAACAAGACACCACAATGCCCTCCGCCACAGCAGAGTGCCAGAGCCACATTCTTGATAAGCCAATGGAGAGAAGTGTTCAGTGGAGAATGGAGAAAAGAGAGTCGATGAAGTGGTCAGAACAAAGGATGAGCACGCCACTGCCATCTGCTGCCACAGCTGTGCCAGTGGCTCGTGGCTGGGAAGTACCAACCCCACTGGCAAAGGGAGAGCATTAACACACAGAGATTAACACACACATCCATAACCAACCAACTTTTGACAAAGGACCTGACAGCATTCACTGAGTAAGGAGAGTCTCTTTGACAAATGGGGTTGGGAAAATTGGATCTCTGAGTGCAAAAGTAAGGAAAAAAGACCTATATGCTAGATCCTCTGCAAAAAAACTCATGTGCATCAAGTACCTAGATCTAAAACTTGGAACCCTCAGATTACTAGAGGAAAACTGAGGCACTGCTGCAAGGCATTGGCCTCGGCAGATTTCTTACATAAAACCCTGGAAACATAGACAAGAAAAGCAAAGACAAATGGGATTATATAACACCAAGGAGCTTCCACGCATCGAAGGAAAAAAATTACAAAAAGGCAACTGAAAGAATGGAGAAAACAATTATGCAAATTATGTGTTTGATGAAGGATTAATATCCAGAATATGTATAAAAGTTCAAGGAACTCAACATCAACTTTACAGTTCAGTAAATAAGCCAAGAGTGTTCAGAGATATTTTTCAAAAGATGAAATGCAAACAGTCAAAAATGCATGAAAAAATGCTCATGATCACTCACCGTCCAAGAAATACAAATAAAATCTTCAATGAGGTTTGACCTCACCCCAGTTGGAATGGTTACCATCTAAAAATAACAATGCACATGAGAAGGTGTAGAGCACAGGGCCCTAAGACTCTGTTAATGGGAATGCAGACTATTACGGAAGGCATAATGTAGAGTTCTTACAAGACTGGAGATCTGCAATCCACTCCAGCTCTCCCATTCTGGGGAATAGATCTAAAGGAAATGAAATCAGCATATAAAAAGGTGATATTGACTTCTATGTTTATAGCTGTCTAGTTCACAAAAACAAAGATTAAACCAACTTAGGTGTCCATCAGCTAGGATACCGAATAAAAAATAATGTAGACACACGCACAATGAAATATTGACCAACCATGAAATGAATGAATAGCTGATATTTCGACAAAATGGATTCAACTAGAGATCATTATTCTAAGTGAAATAAGCCAGGCCCAGAACGATAAATGCTACCTGTTTTCTGTTGGTGGTGGTAGTTAACAGATAAGGGTGCGGATGTCATATCGTTAGGAATACAGTTATGAATACTGCTTCACTGGATCATATATGTGGCAATATATGCTTATTTCATGCATTCAAAAGTAAACGTAGAGAGGAGTATAGAGAACCCTTTGGTTACCCACATGCTTTATTCTTAGAGTATCGGTGTGACTGTCATACAGCAAAGCTCATTTATCTGTACGTTTATGTGTATTTCTTGGCATTTACACTGTATTTCAATAAAATTTACACAACGTATTTGTGAAATTTGTTTCTATTAAGCCTATTTCCTTTGGTGTCATCATTTAACCTACAACTATTGGACAAACTCAAGAGTCCAATTCAAATCTCACAGGTAATAACTGGAGTCTGTGCCAAGTTTCAAAACTTCAGAAGATGAAATTAACGATTGGTGTAGCCATGAGAACTCAGCATACATGGGGAAACACCGTGGAGGCGACTGTGGTACAAGGTCACCTGAGCCATATACAATGAGATTTCTCATTCATATTGAAATACATACAATTTATCTCCCGTCACATACTCCTCATGAAAAACTGTTAGTACAGTAGAAAATTAGAATAGACATACAGTCGGTAAAGATATGCACTCGAAACAGACTAATGAACTCCAAAAGTAGATGGGTTCATTCATTAGTTCTATCAAGTGTTGAATGAAGATTTACACCAATTGTATACTTGTTGGTCCATTTCCAATTGCTCTAACAAAATAGTAAAAGTGGACAGCCCGTGAAGAGAACATGGTGATTTAGCTCATGGGTTTGCGGGTTCAGGCACTTGGCATCTCAGCAGTAGTGAAGGTCTCCTGGCTGATGGCATCACCATGGTGGGACACAAAGTGATAAGGCAGGAAGCCACAGAGATCTGGGGGTCCTGTCCTGCCCTTTCATCACCATCCACTCTCATGGGAACTCACTCATCCAGAGACCTGTCTACACTGACATAAGGACCTCACTCTAGATCCCACTGCTCAGAAAGCCGGCTCCCTCAGGATTGGGTTTCCAACATATCAAATCTGGGGGACACATGCCAGCAACATCCAAATGACATACCAGTCCTTCCTGTACTTTCCCAAGAAAGTCTCAAATAGGTGGAGAGATGCCGCCCAATTCATTTGATATGTCCCTGATTCTAAAATCTGAGAAAACATTTCTAACAAAAAACTACAGGCACAGAAATTTTTCCAGATTGCTTAAAACCAAATGAAGTGTCATGTTAAATGGAAAATATTCCATGACCAGCTGAGATTTATCAACTGATGTAATATCTACAGTAAAATAATAAAAAACAAGCATGATTACCTCAAAGGATTCAGAAAAGTCTTTGACAAATACAACACATTTTGTGGTTTTAAAAATCACTAAACAAATTTGGAATAGCTGGGAATTCATTCAACTGAGAAATGACATGCATACAAAAAAATGCAATAAACACCAACTGTGAAAAATTGAAAGATATGGCTGTGTGATTATGAATACTAGCAAGAAAATGATATCCAGTTTTGCCACCTCTCTTCCACAGCGTACTACAAGTACTACACAGGGTGTTCTACAAGTAAAAGAAACAGAACTTAGCCAGATTGCAAGGCTAGCTGTCTGAACTATGGAGGGTTGCCCAATCTCTGAATTTCTAAACCATGGGCTTAAATAAATAACTTGCCCTTCCAGGATGTTCCTTTGAAGTATGTTAGTCGTAGCAATTAAAAGCCACCAGTACACTCCAGTCCCCAGAGCACATGCTGTATCGGTGTGCCATCATACTGAGCTGAGGTCACTATTGTGACCCATCCTCCCTCAGAGCACAGAACCACCTGCATCTCCACCCGTTGGGTCCCCCTGATATTCCACCACTGCGATGAGAAATTCTGCAGCTTCACAAAGCCACCTATACCCAGAAGTAGCTGAGACCCCATCATCATAGCCCAAGTAGTCTCACTGACTTCATGTGACAGGTGGTTTGGGATAGCAATTCACATTTTTCTCCTACAACCTTAGGAAATGGGTGGGTGGGTTTTGCAGATCTGGGGGAGGAGCTGCTGCTATGAACTGCCATTTGGTGCAGCCAGCTTCCCTCTGGGAGTCACCATTTGTTCAAGTCAAGATAGAGGGAAATTGCCATGCACCCTGCCACCCACAGGCGTAGTGGACATGGACTTCTACAGTCACCGTCTGACATTTCCTCCAGGACGGGGTGTGGACCAGAGTCTGAGCGACAGATCTCAGAAAGGAAACCACACTGCGATCCTTCCCTTCCCCCCTCCCCCCACCTGCAGAGGGCCAGACCCAGCTGTGGGAAGTTGGACAGCTGGCGTCTTCACCACTGCTGCCAGAATTGATCCAAGTCATGTCAGGGACTATAAGGGCAGAGGATGGATTCCCTGCGTCTTGAACCTGTCAGGAACTTTTGATCATTTAGCCCAGAGCTGCGCTGTCTCACTCTACATGATTGAGGGGTTGAGAATCCCTGTTAGTTTCTCGGGGAGATATCAGAGCTTCCTATAAAAATTCTTTCCCACCCTGGAAGAGCCATGTAATGACCCCACTGTACTTTGCAATGCTGTAACAGCTTGAATTTCCTTAACTCCCATGGAATCTACCTGGTGCACCAAGGAAGAGAATCTGGGCTCAAAACTGCCAGAGGGATAAAACAAAACAAAACAAAACCCGGCTATTCCTGCAGTCTCCCTGTAGGATTGGAGCAGGGTTCAGTTCACAAACTCCAGTCCCAATACTAGCCACAGCAGCAGGTGCCCCCTCCTGGCAGGAACAAAGGAAGGGCCCACGTGTATCACAGTCCTAGGGCACAGAAAATGGTGCTGCAAGCCCCAGCATCGCTCAGGGTTATCAGGAAGACAAGGGGGAAGCCACCTTTATCTTCCTCTACACAAGACCAAGGCCTTGGCCACCACAATCCCCAGGGTGACAGTGACAATGAACTCTCTGTGGGCCAAAGATACACAATCTAGGAAACCCATACTCATCCCAAAGCCACACTTCTGTCCTAATAAATTGTAGCAGACTAGACAACTATGTCAACTTATAGACACACTGACATTGATTAAAGCAAAATAAATCACTCAAACTATACTCATGGATTTATCTAGAGCCAAAGATAAAGCAACACGTTATGGCTGCCTTATATCAAAGAGAAAATGTATTTGTCTTTCTTTCACTGAGCATAATGGTCTCCAGTTGGAACCTTTTTATTGCAAATGGTAGGATTTCATTCTTTCATGGCTGTGTATTATTCCATAGAGTACATAAACCACAGTTTATTTAGCCTTACATTCATGTAGATGAACCGTATGATGGAGATTAGCATGCCAGGAAACTACATTGCAGCATGCATGTCTACACCGAATAAAAGGGGAATGCTCAATAAAAGTTAAATATATCTTGGCAGTATGATACTAGATGTTTTACCTTCTCCTATACCTACAATGCCATGATACACTTAAATAGACAATTAAACTTTTAACTGTTACTAAAAAGACTATG